CGCTTCAGGGCCGCGTCAGGGGCCGCTTCAGGGCCGCGGCAGGGGCCGCAGCAGGCCGCGTCAGGACCGCGTCAGGGGCCGCGGCAGGGCCGCGTCAGGGCCGCGGCAGGGGCCGCGTCAGGGCGCCGCGTCAGGGGCCGCGTCAGGGCGCCGCCAGGGGCCGCGGCAGGGCCGCGACAGGGCCGCGTCAGGGCCGCGTCAGGGGCCGCTTCAGGGCCGCGGCAGGGGCCGCGGCAGGCCGCGTCAGGGCCGCGTCAGGGGCCGCGGCAGGGCCGCGTCAGGGCCGCGGCAGGGGCTGCGTCAGGGCGCCGCCAGGGGCCGCGTCAGGTCGCGTCAGGGCCGCGTCAGGCGCCGCCAGGGGCCGCGTCAGGGCGCCACCAGGGGGCGCGTCAGGGGCCGCGATAGGGCGCCGGCAGGGGCCTCGTCAGGGCGCCGCCAGGGGCCGCATAGGGGGCGCGTGGGAGGCGGCGTAGGGGCCGCGTAGAGGCAGCGTAGGGGCCGCTAAAAAAAAAATTTAGGGCAGGGCGCAGTGTGCGCGGGCAGCTAAATTTATTTTTCTTATGGTGGGCCCTTAGGAAGGAACGGTCCCATGTAGGAACCCGCTCTATACCATGTGAATTAAGAAAAATAGGAATGAAAATGACTAAGTGAAAGTTGGGTACAAGAAGCAAACCCTAGAAAACTGTACCCCATATGTGCTACCCCACTCTAGCCTACAGTAGCTATGTCATATAAATCTGACAATACATTGCTTCGTTCCGAAATGCATACACGAGCACTCGTCACCGTGAAGTTTTTAGTACTCAGGACACTCTAGGTATTTTTGAGGAAAAACAAAACTCTGACAACAGTAGGTATTTTCGAGCAACAAAATAACCCTGAATACAACATTCATTTCAGATAAGCATTGTACTCCACTACAGGGGGTCACATTCATAGTTTTTTGTGCCCGAAACAACTCCGCACGCGAGACTCTTTTCAGCACAGCATTCTCCTCTACTCATGGGTTCGCTGGCAGTCCATCTCATTCTCTACGCGCCGGTATAGATTTTTCCTGTCTAACAAAAGCGATTCGGGACAGCTTTCGCGGATCATGTGAAGCATACAGTCCTCTGAAAAAGGTACACAGTGATGGAGATCAATGGTGGTACGGGTAATTTGCTTAGCGCAGCTTTCGAGGACATTGAGCCGTTTTTAGATGTCGAAGATAGCCAATTACCGCATGCCCCGATAGATCTAACCGGGGACCACGATTGGGACTTAAACTTTGCACCAGCAGTGGACGGGGAAGTGTTTGTGGATGCTCCGGAAGAATTTTCAGCCTCGAACCCTCATGTCGGAGTCGAGGGAAATGTGGCTGAGAGCGCGAATCCGAGGGGCGAAAGGCGTTCGAGGGTGTGGATTGACCTCGGAGACGATGTCAACGCTGCCCGAGGCTGAGGTTCCGGAGGAGGAGCGTCTAAGGACACAAGACGAGGTTTGAAGCCATTTGGGGGACGACAGAAAGGAGGAGTGGTCAGCTATGAAAACCTGAGGAAGTTCATCTCCGCGGGCCCCGTATTTCTGGATGGAGGATGAGATACCTGCAGTACATGGCAGACAAAACCCCGGAGCAGGCCGAAACAATGCGGAGAGGCGAAGAAGTGGTGGTTGGGAAGGAGCCCATCCCTAGTACGCCGAGCATGATGAGCGCTTTGGGCTTCCTTGGCAGGCTTGAATCTCGGCTCTACGGCTACCCGAAGTCCAAAGCGGATGACTACATCAGCGAAGCGCAGGAGTATATGAAGCTCAAGCTGAAACAGCTGCACGACAAGCAGGCCGCGTGAGTATTATCACACCCATTCGCCAAACGGACATATCGAAATATCGAATCCTAATCGCGTTCCATGTGGATGTCTGCAGAGAGGGCAAAGATCAGCACCGAAACTCGCTGGACGATTGCTACACGGCGGAGCAGTACACGGAGTTGCAGGAAATTCACCTTCCGAGGGAAAGCAAATCGTTCTACCAGAGACCCCGGCGTGCAATATCACAAAGTCTGTGGCGGTCTTTAGCGGTGCAGGTGATGATTCAAATCGCACACCAAATGTTAGGGAGGGGATGCAGCATTCGTGCACTTCGATTCTCCAACATGTTTGTCCGCAAGACGCGCAGCAGCACTGCCGTCGCGGAAGGCCAAAAGGATCTTCCTGTTGTGGTTTTCGCCTCTCGAAAATTGAAGACAAATTCGACCAACAATCTGACCCACCAATTCATGGCCCGGCACATCAACTTCATGCTCTGCGGTATGGGTGGCCTTTTCCTGTGGATTCATTTCATCTACGACCTTGTGCCGCTTCGGCACGGACATCGTTCCGCCCCTGGACTTCAGCGACCCATTGTCGTGGACAAAGAAGCACCTCTTCTTTGAATTGAGGAGGCGCGGAGATGGAAGGACTCAACTGCAGGAAGAGATTCCGTACAATACCCACAACAACTGGATAAATTGGGTCATGAAGGAAGCGGTTCATCCACGCTGGCGGTTGAGCAAAAAGACCCACGCGTTTCGCCGGTCGGGAGCTCAAGGTCTGAGTGACGATCGCTGTCCTGACCCCGACATCAACGCCCTCGGAGGCTGGGAGCAGGGCGAGATGCGAAAATCCTATGTGGTGGGAATACCTTTTTGGCCAGTGTTGATGATGGCCGGATTCAGTGAGGAACCAGGAGATTATTACATTGGCAAATCGCACGCCGTCCTTGACGACCCTGTCGAGTAGAAAGATTTGAATGACCTTTTCAAGAAGTACATCTTCCCGCGCCTCGAATCTGATTTGGCAAAGGTATCCTTTCGTTAGTCTCGCTTTGTGGAGCTTATTCTAATCTTGTATCGCGTGCCAGAGTTTGTCCTAACATCTCAGGTCGAGGAGTACAACAGAACACTAACTTCGAGTCAGATGCACCACTCTGGCAGAAGTTTTTTGGAGGCTCTTGAAGACCCAGGGCGAGACATCGTGGCACAGGACCTTGCGCCCGTACACGGAAATGAATCCGCTCTGCCAGCACCCACTGTTTCAGAAGTGTGCCATCAAAGTGGCAATCATGCACAAGATTGGCATTGAACTTCGTGAAGCCAGGGGCAGCTCTGCAGCCAATGTAAGTACAATATTTCTCTGATCGGCACTACCATTTCGACATGTCTGAGTATGTCTGAAAACCCTCGTCCGTTTCTCCGCAGGATGCGATCTACAAGCTGAACACAACGCGAAAGTACCAGAAGCTCCTCGCAGAGAACACCTTTTATCGGACAGAATCTGGTCAGCAGCAGCACGAGATTGGTGAGTTGAAGAACAAGGTCGCTGAACGCGACAAGAGTCTGAAGAAGATGGCAGCTGAAAACAAGCAGCTCAAAAAGGAGCTGGCTGCTCTGAAGGAGCATGCCGGGAGCAACGCTGACGGACAGGCTGCCGGTCGAGGGACGGGCTCGTCGACAAAGGTGGAAGCCGGTGGCGAGGCTCCGAAGCCCGGAAAGCCAACGGTCACCACTCCAGTGAAGGCATTTTTCGACCTTGGCGGGACTCGAAGAAAGTCGCAGAGGCATGGGAATTATGGGTGAAGGTGACCTTTTTGATGAACGGAAAGACTCTGCGACAGCTTGCTTCCGAAGATGGTTTATACCCCACCTTCTCGTATTGCGAGACGAGTGTGAAGGACGACACGGGCGACAAAAGGATGAAGCGGATGAAGAACGTGATGCTCACCGTCGAGAAGTATAGGGCTGATGAATCGGAGGAGGCGACACGGGCCGCCATTGCCCTGATCCAAAAGAAGATTGTGGATCAGAGTTCAATCAGCGCTCTGGCGGATGGTGTGCTTCTCGGAAAGGAGCCACCTGCGAAGAGGGGTCATATCGCCATGGAAGACACTGAGACACCTAAGAAGACCACGACGGATGCCAAGCGCCACAAGATTGGCTACCTAATGTTTGCTGCCAAGATGGAGAACGACGCGTGGGGAACGGAGATGTTTGGAGATGCTTGGACGAACATCAAGATTGTGGAGCCACTGAAGCTGGCTAAATTGAAGAAGTAGTCCGAGCTACTGAGACTTCTTGAATTCTATTTCCCCCGTTGTTGTTCTACTACTCTTCCTCTCTTTGTCTGCCGGATCGCACGTTGTTGGAGCTGTTTTCTTTCGACTTCTATCTCAACTTATCTCTTGACCGTGATCCTTATTTTCCTACTTTGCCTACTTTTCTCTAAACCTATTTTAGATTTGCATTTTTTACTTTGGAACATCGGGGTGTAGAGTGGGTTTTCCCGGAATATTTTCACGACTGTCGTTCGTAAAAAACTTGGCCCATTTTATAGTGACGTGTTTGAATAGTAGCTCGCATTTCAGATACCTTGCTCATCGTTTTCCAAACAGTTGAGTTTGATTTCGCTTTCCAAACCGTCAAAGTCATTTGTAGTGTTGCACAAGTAGTAAAAAATCTGAGTGCGTTATATTTATAGAGCATCAATCCGTCTAGCTACAAAGCTCTATCAAACTCGAATTTGCACCCTACCCCGCACTCGCCTACGTACAAAGAGCAAAACTGTCTCGAAAATCAAAGCATGCGACAGACTGTAGTATAAAGCTCAAGCAAAATCCGAGTTGCACTCGATTCACGCATTGCCACCAGCATTCCCTCCCGCATTCGGGGGCCCTCCCGCATTCGCGTTCCCTCCCGCGTTCGCGTTCCCTCCCGCATTCGCTTTCCCTCCCGCATTCGCGTTCCCTCCCGCGTTCGCGTTCCCTCCCGCATTCGCGTTCCCTCCCGCATTCGCGTTCCCTCCCGCATCAGAGTTGTACTCGATTCACGCTTTGCCACCAGCAGTCGCCTTCCGCTTCTGCCCCCGTGAGCCCTGGGCAAAGTTGAGCAAACCCCCTTGATACGCGTTAGTTCCTGCCGCTGCCAAGTTGCACTCGCACCAGTACACAACACCCGAGAAACCACTTTCGCCAGGCTAACAACTTCAGGCTCATCCGTGGGTTCGGGATCTAGGATGCCGACTATCACTTTGGTAGAATCCCACTCGTTCCGACCATGCACTCGGTCCTTTACTCGAAGCAGAGCCTTCATTCCGACGCGAGAAATCGACGCTGCTCGACTGGCAAGGCTTTGAGGGGCCACGGGCTGCCGCAGCAGCACCCTCCTCCCAGTCTTGTTTCGGAATGCCGGTCGAAGCTGCCCACAGGGTGTAGAGAGATGGTGCCAGCCCTGCTGCATAGACTGCGGTCTTGACACCAGCGGGGGGGGGACTCCGCAACAGTGCTGCCATGGACGAGGGCATGTCCAATCCCCACGCAAACCGCGATCTCCCAGTGCTCGCCGCGGTCCACGCATGCCCGAATTTTCTCAGTGACATTTTTGAAGCTGCGAAAGTGGGGTGGAAAGGAAAACATTAGTGAGAAGATTTGTGGGAAAATCGAACCAAGAACACATAAATTGAAGAAACGCACTCTTCGAACTTTTCGAGGTCCATTTCGTTGAGCACGCTCCTTACTCCTGTCGGCAATACACGCGCGAGTTCGAGGTAGGGATCCCATGTCCCAACTTCACGTAGTGAAGCATGTCGGTGTCGGGATAGTACGCCATCCAGCAGATGGCGACGGTGAAGTGACGGCGCCATTTCTTCTAGTAACTCCCCATGTTTCTCTTCTTCTCTCCAACTATTTGCTCCGACGAGTATCTCACCTCCACCGTCCCATCCTTCCGCTCCCGTTCGCGTGTAAAAAGCCCACTTTTTTTTGAAGTGCTTGGTAACACCCCACATTTTGCCCAGGGCGTCGGGTATGCTATCCTTTTCCGCGACATCTTTGACCGCTTCTCCCAACACCGCTTCAGGATTCTCCTTCCCTGCCTCATCTTCCTCCTCTGACGCTGCAACATTTTCAGACCCCGCCTCTGCATCGACGTTGGGCGCCGTTTGATATCTGCGAGGTTTCTTCGAGGGCGGTTGGGACTGTGAATCAGCGTAGACTGTCAGATCTAATGACTCGTCGCGATCATCCGCCAGATCCACAACTTCAAGTGGCTGTCCGGGGGCCGTCGGAACTACGCTAAAAATCCCGGCCCACCCACATTCCGCATCTCCTCCCTGCCCTTGCCCTGCTGCCCCCTCCACTTCCTCCGCCGCAATCCGTTGCCTCTCCTCTTCCATCATCTCCGTTTGCGCCTCCAACTCCTTTTGTTGCCTCTCCTCTTCCTCCAACACAGATTCCTCTAACCTTGCAAGACGCTCCAACTCTGCCTTCATCTTCTCACGCTCTGCCTGGAGGTCTGTTTTCCGCTGCAAAGCCTCCGCCCGCTGCTGTTCAGCAACCTTCGCGATCCGCTGATGCTCAGCCTCAAACTTCTCTAACTCCGCTGCCTTCTGTGCTCGCCTATGCTCATTTGCCTTTGCCTGCTCCTCCCGCACCCTCTTATCTTCCTCCGCCTTCTTGCGTTTTTCCTCAGCCGCTCTCTCGGCCCGCTCTGCCTCCTTTGCCTGCTCTTCCCGCAACCTCCTCTCATCCTCTGCCTTGCATTTTTCCTCCGCCGCTCTTTCGGCCCGCTCTGCCTCCTTTGCCTGCTCTTCCCACACCCTCCTCTCTTCCTCCGCCTTGCGTTTTTTCCCCGCCGCTCTCTCGGCACGTTCTGCCCTTGCCTGCTCATCCCGCACCCTCTTGTCTTCTTCCTCCTTTTTGCGCTGGTCTGCCAACCTTGCTTCCTGCTGCTTCGTCTCTTTACACTTCTTTTCAAACGCAGCTGCTCGCTCTTCCCGCATCCTTGCTGCCTCTGCGCTCGTATCTGCCGCTCGTATCTGCAGCAGCTGCTCGACATGTGTCAGCTGCTGCTGCTCGTGCCTCGGCTTCTGCGGTCGAAAGAGCAGCACGCAATTGGAGGAGCTCGTCGCGCTCTCGGACCACAGAAGCCTTTAGCTCGTGGTACTCGTGTGTTAAATCACCGTAGTCCTGCAAGTACCGCATGTCCCATCCCTGCATCTGCTCACTAAACTAGCGAGTCTCGGCCATGCTGTCGCTGAAGCAAACACCTTGCTCCGACGAAATGCCGGCCACGGACCTCGCCACCAACGTCAGACGCCGCATTAACTCCCACGTGGTCAGCACCCTGCCACTAGCTGCAATGGAGTCTCCGGCCTCCTCAAATCCTCCCTCCGTCTCCTCGAAAACCTGGGGCCCCGCATTCTCCAGTCCCTGCAGTTGCCTCTCCACAGCCACCCATTCACCCTCCTCCAGTTCCTCTGCCTGCACCGCAGCGGGATTCTCTGCCGCACGTGGATGGCGCCTCTGCACGGGGAGCGCACTCGCCGCGCTCTCCAGCTCCTCTTCCATCCGTCCCCCCGCCTGCCTCTGCTGATTCTCCCTTTGTCGCGCTCCCTCTACTCCCCATCCCACCCCACGCCAGACCTGCTCGTCCGCCACTCTCTCACCTTGTAGCGTTCGACGCGCCTAACCCTCTCGCCGACCAGCTTGCCTTGACTGCTCGACCCTCCTACGGTCTCCATCGCCAAGCCTGTTCCGAGCTGTTTGATCTGCACGGCGACCGCCTTCCCGCAGCATCTCAACCCTCGGCCCCACAGTTCCCAACCCCGCTAAACCCACCTCCGCTGCCCGACGAACCGTTATCCCCTGCTGCCCCTCTGTTGGCTGGCCGCCAACAACCACTTGTCGACCTCCTTCCCGGGCACCCAGCCCCAACTGCGGTTGAAAGACCCTCGTGCCCCTCTGGCCCTCACTCGTGTGACAAGGTCCATCCTCACGCCGCTGCCCTCCAGCCCCTGCCCCACGCCACTCATGCTCCTCCAGGCGATCCCTCTGTCGCTCCAGATTTGTTTCGCCCTTAGCTGCCCTCGCCTGCTCTTGCGCTCGCCGCTCACTGTCGACCCTTAACCTCTCGGCTTCATCCCTCTGTCTTGCCACTTGCTTTCGCACTCGAGCCTTTGCAGCTCAAGCCTTCGACGTTTGCTTTCGGCTCTTTTCCGCTCCCGTTCTTTCCTCTGCCGTGCCTCCTCCTTTTCACGCTCCACCCGCCTATCTTCCTCGCTCTTCCTCTCTTCCTCCTCCCTCTGCCGCTTCTCCTCCTTTTCGTGCTCCACCTTCCTATCCTCCTCCCTCTTCCTTTCTTCCTCCTCCCTCTGCCGCTTCTCCTCAATATCGCGCTCCACCCGCCTATCCTCCTCCATCTTCGTCTCTTCCTCCCTCTGGCGCTTCTCCTCCTTTTCGCGCTCCACCCGCCTCTGTTTGTCGAGCCTCTCATTTTCCTCCCTCTGTCGCCCCTCCTCTTTTTCGCGCTCCACCCGCCTATCCTCCTCCCTCTTCCTCTCTTCCTCCTCTCTCTGCCGCTTCTCCTCCTTTTCGTGCTCCACCTTCCTATCATCCTCCCTCTTCCTCTATTCCTCCTCCCTCTGCCGCTTCTCCTCCTTTTCACGCTCCACCTTCCTATCATCCTCCCTCTTCCTTTCTTCCTCCTCCCTCTGCCGCTTCTCCTCCTTTTCGCGCTCCACATTCCTATCCTCCTCCCTCTTCCTCTCTTCCTCCTCCCTCTGCCGCTTCTCTCAATTTCGCGCTCCACCCGCCTATCCTCCTCCCTCTTCGTCTCTTCCTCCCTCTGCCGCTTCTCCTCCTTTTCGCTCTCCACCTGCCTCTGTTCCTCGAGCGTCTCATTTTCCTCCCTCTGTCGCGCCTCCTCTTTTTCGCGCTCCACCTGCCTATCCTTCTCCCTCTTCCTCTCTTCCTCCTCCCTCTGCCGCTTCTCCTCCTTTTCGCGCTCCACCGGCCTTTGCTCCTCTAGCCTCTTACTCTCTTCCTCCCGCTGCCGTGCCTCCTCCTTTTCGAGCTCAACTCGCCTCTCTTTTTCGAGGCTCTTCCGCTCCCTTTCCTCCCTCTCCCTCTCCCCCTACAGCACTTCCAGATAAAGCAGACTTCTCTAAGGGAAAGTGATTTTAAATAAATGTGTTTCCTTCCCTGTGTTGGCTTGCTTCTTTTATGTGGGTGTGTGTTGTGTGTGTGTATTTTTTTTTTATATATATATATACTAATCCCTTTGAATTTCCTCCTCTCTTCCTTCACCCCACTTCCAGAACGAGGCAATGGAAGGCAGAGCATGCACCCACTGTCACATCTCTGCACCGTGCCGCATATCTCTGACCTTCTTGCACCTTCGTCACATCCTCATCCTCCACCGCAAATAATTCTTAACTCCCTTCGTATGCCTTGACGAAAACCTCTCCCTCCCTAGACAACTCCCAAAGCAGCATCCCCCTCACACTAGCTTCGTTGACTGAAGCACCTCTGAACACATCTCCCCTCTCTTGCACCTTCCGCCCCCAACATCGCTACACGCACACAACCATCCGCCTCTAACCCTCTCCTCAACCATTCGCCCCCATTCCCTAAAAGCAAAGCAATTTATGTACCTGCAGCAATGCCTCTCACCTTCCCCTCAACCGTTCGACCCCATTCCCTGAAAGCAACGCAATTTCTCCTCCGTTTGCTCCTCCCTGTGCTCCATCTGGCAAGGCGCCTCAAGCCAGGACTGCTCCGGCCTCCCCTCGTCTCCCCTTCTTTCTCTTCCCCCCGCCCCCTTCTTTCTCTTCTGGAGGGGGGGGAGGAGAGAGGAATGAGAGGAGAACGAAAGGCGTAGAGGGAAACGGGAGAGTGGAGGAGGCGAGGACTGGGGGACGGGAGTGGGTGTGTGGTGAGCAGCAATGCTGTGTCCTCTCTGAGGGTGGTGGGGGAGTGTCTGGGACGTGGAGGGAGAGAGAGAGGGGGATAAGGAGCTCCTCTGTCTCTCACTCCCCCTCCTCCTTACACACGTGCCCTGCGTGACCACTGCTGGCTCTTCTGAGCTACTACTCTTCTGGTCCTTCCTGCTAGTGAACAGCAACAAAATCAGCAGAGGGGGGAGTGGCAGTGATGGTGGTGATGGAGGTGACTTGTTAAGTCGTCTCAGCTGCCATCCTCCCTCGACCCTGCAACAACACTTCTTCCAAGTAATGTGATTCTGGTTTGGTTCATAAAATGCTTATTGTTGGTGATTCAGACGGTGTTGGTGGCCTTAATTTGTTTTCCCACATTTATCTCTATCCCCTCTCAAGTTTTCTGTAAGATGGGTCCTATGCATCTCATTCCCTCCCTGTGCTCCATCCCTCTCCTTCCTCTTTCCGATATCTATTCCGTTCACCCTTTCAACCAATCTCTACCTCACCCCATTTTTAGGACGAGGCAGCACAAGCAAGGGAGAAAATACACTTCACAGTACCGCATCTCCCGAACCTTCCTGTGCCTGCCCCGCATCCTCGTCCTCCACTCCAACCGCTTCCAAACCACCTTCGGACCCACCCGCTCGGCAACCCAACCCTTCCTCGAGAAACCCACTCTGCCTTTTGATGCACCTCAGCGAACATCGTCTCCCTGCCAACCTCATCCCTCGAGCCACATCAACACACAACCCCGTCAACACCCACCTCCCAAGCTCCTTTGAACCCATTCACTCCGACCTCCATCTCTAAATGTACTAGTGTCGTCAAAGAGATTAGATCCCAGGCACAAGAATTCATGTCCTTCAAATTTCTTTTTTGTTTTTACCGTAGGTAGACAATTCATGTGAGAGTACGACGGCTTATGCTGGCTTTGCTAGCTTGCCTGGAATTTATTATGCTATTACTAGCTTATGTTTTATTTATCATGCATAGATATGCTTGATTTCCTAGGTTAGGTGCATTCCTATATGTTATTATGTTGACTGCTATTTGAGATATAGGAGCTCTTAACACACATTTAATCTACACTAGGTAGTCCCCACGGGGTCACCTCCAAGGGTTCTTGGGTGCCTGGTAGAACCAGCCCCTATCCAAGGGTCCGTGTTTGAAGAGGGATTTCCCTAAGTGCAAAAATTATCGTGCGTTCTAGAGCGTTCCCAAACTTCATTGCGCAGCGTTGACGACGAAATGGGCTCGTGTGCAGAATAGCTCTTCACGTCAATACGTTGATAGAGCAACTTCACTCGCCAAAGAGATTCAGAAAATATTTTTCACTAGAAAGGATTTAGAACAATCAAGCACAAGCACACGTTTTATATTTCGTCTCACATACAAGCAAAGGAAAATAGCGAAACAGTAATTTAACTGCGTTCTAGAATTTTGCCTTGCTGTCTTGGAAAACGGTTGCTCAACTCCTTGCGAATTTGGCTTGATTCTCCTCTTGAAAATATCTGTCTTCAAATTCCACATATGACAATTACCTTGCTGGTTCAAATGAGTGCACTCATGAGTTCCATGCGAGCAAACAGTTGTAAAACGGTTTTTACCGTTGAGAAAACGGAATAACCGTTTTGTACCTGCGTCGAAATCATTCCGCAAAGTGGTGTAACTTTCGCGCGCAATTACCTGTTCGCCACGTCACAAAAGACGAGACTCGAGATTCAGTTATTCAACTGAAATCTCGAGTCAAACTTCAAGCACCCCTCGAAATCCCTCGGCACTCCCCGAAACACACGCGCACCCCTCAGGTGTGCAATCATGCACGACCGAAAATCTCGGTCGTGCTGTACAGTGCGATCGTGCGCTGTCCTGAATCGAGCAGGGCGGCCATGATCGCCTTGTCTGGTTGCGATCGTGCGCCCTGCGCACGCTCGCAACAGTGCGAGCCATGCGCGTGGGCCTGAGGGTCCACTCGCGAGATCAGAGCCCCACTCGCGGGTCCTGATTCTCGCACCCTTTGACCTTGACCAACGCGAAATTCAACACACTCCCCAGTCAAACTATCGCGCCCCACAAACACCCCACGATACACCACTCGCTTGCATGAGCCACGCATGAAACATTACACACAAATGAGACTTTCATGGGAAGCTCATTTGAGGCTCATTGGAGCTTCATGAGAGCTTTCATTTGAGCTTTCATGAGAGCTTCATTTGAGCGCGTCATGGGAGCCTCATTTGAGCGCTTCATGAGAGCTTCATTTGAGCGCATCATGTGAGCCTCATTTGAGAACTTCATGATGTTAGAATAAGCAGGCAGGAATGGTGGACTAGGTAGCATGCATGAGTACAAGTACCTAACCCTAAAGTGTTGTACCCCTTGTAGGATAACCCACTATAGCCTAGAGATAACACAAACATACAGTTTGACACACCCCCATAGGCTAAGTGGGAGATAGCAAACACAACAGACGGTCACAAGACCAGTCAAGCAAGAGAACAAGCAAAGCAAAGCAAAGCTCAGGGTGGATCTCAAGGACACCACACAATCTGAGCACAAGCAAGCGGCCACAAGGCCAGTTCACATGCAGAGTTATAATAGCAAGGCAGTACACTGATCACAACCTAGCAAGAGTAAACAAGCAGGTATAAAGATATATATCAGTGTACAACAAGAGCAAGTCAAGCAACCAGCAGGTGAGGCAGAGTGGGCACAAGCCCAAGAGCAGTGCAAAAACGCTGATGATTACCAGACCCAAGGGCCTTGGTGAAAACATCAGCAGTGTTGGCCCGAGAGGCCACGTAAGCAAGGCGCAGCTGACGACGCTGCTGCAACTCACGCGCAAGGAAGTAGCGAAGAGCAATGTGCTTCGTTCTGTGCTCCAGTCTCTGCTCGCGACACAAGGCAAGCATTGCCTTGTTGTCGACGTACAGAACTGGAGGAGAACGAGGCCGCTCCCCCAAGTCGGTCAGCAGGTAGGTCAGCCAGCGTAGCTCCTGAGTAGCCATGGCCCCAGCGTAGATCTCGGCCTCACAGCTGGAACCAAGCACAGAAGAAGAACGAGTGGACCTCCACGAGACAGAACCAGAGCCAAGACTAAAGGTGTAACCCTGTGACGAACGCTGAGTCGCCTGGTCGTCGGCCCAAGAAGCGTCAGAGTGTCCTGTGAGGACCACCGAACCCCGTCCTCCAAGCACGAGCCCCATGCCCGATGTGCTGCACAAGTAACGCAGTACCCTCTTTGCAGCATCAAAGTGCACCTTTCGGTGTCTACCGGGTGCCACGTAGCGAGCCAGAAGGCTGAGAGGGTACGCGAGGTCAGGTCGTGTGCACGTCATCAGGTATATGAGGCAACCCACAAGCTCTGGGCACGGACCACTCGGCTCTACGGACTCGTCCGAAGGTGGAGCTGAGAGCGAGTGGCCGGTAGCCAGAGGAGTGGGCTGTGGCGAGGAGTACGTGAAGCGGAAGCGCTGAAGGACCTGGTGCACCATGTGTCACTGAGTCAGGGTGATGGTGCGCCATGCTCTAACCCGGGTTATCTGCAAGCCAAGATAGCTCCGCAGCTCACCCAGGTCAGTGCAGGTGTGTCTCTCCTGCAGCTCCGCCTTCACTAGGGCCAGTGCCTCAGTGTCAGCAGTAGCAAAAACCAAGTCGTCGACGTACACGAGGATGTAGAACGGCGGCAGAGTAGTGTCGGTGCGTAGAAACAGCGACGGGTCAGCAGTCGAAGGAGCAAACCCAAGAGCCGCAAGTGTCGTCCTCAGTGTGTCGTGCCACTCGCGGGGCGCCTGACGCAGGCCGTACACTGGTCGCCGTAGGCTCCACTGGGTACCCTAAGGAAACGACCCAGTGAAGCCCTGTGGACGGCGCAACCAGATGGCCTCGTGAAGGCTACCCTGCAAGAAAGCTGTCGAGAAGTCGAGGGAGTGCAGCTCGTAGTCACGCTGAGCTGCAACGTGTAGCAACACCCGAAGAGTGGTCATCTTCGGGGTGGGGGAGAAGGTCTGAAAGAAGTCGACCCCCTCACGCTGACTGAAGCCTCGAGCAACGTAACGTGCCTTGAAGGCAGGCGGAGAACCCGGCGGCCGCTTCACCCTGAAAATCCACATGCCACTGACGATGTTCGCCACAGGTGGGGGAACCTCGTCGACGTAGGTGCCTGTGGACTTCCAGGAAGCCATGTTTGCGTCCATGGCTGTCTGCCACTGAGAGGAGTACTCACCCGAAATCGCCTCCCTGTAGGAGCGCGGGGTGGGGATGTCAAGTGCATCCGGGTCTTCCTCAGGGGCAAGCAGCATCGTCGCGTGATGGGGTGAAGCGGCCGCAAGGCACTCCAGCTCCTCCTGTCTGTCCTCAAGAACGTCACAGCCAAGGGCAGTACAGCCAAGGGCAGTCTCACCCCCGACGGACGGAGGACAGGCAGGGTCAGGGTCAGAGACAAGACTCGCAAGGTAGTCTAGGCGGTACACAGCAGCAAAGTCAACGAGCTCAGCGACTAAGGCAGACGCAGCAGGAGACGAGAACGTAGGGTCTGTCACAACCGTAGCAAGGAAGCGAGTAACAGTCGGACTGGACGCACGAGCAAGGTCAGACAGAGGGTCAGCAACGTCAGGAAGAGAGGACGCAGGAGGTAACGGTAGGACAACACGCTGTGGAACAGAGGAAGGACGGAGTGTCATATCGTGAGTGCCGGGGACAGCCGGAGAACGCGGACGACGAACATGAGGAACACGAGCACGGACAGCAGCTCTAGGCTCAGGCTCAAGGTCAAAGCTAGACTCAGGCTCTCGACGCTCAGGGGTGGAAGCACGAGTCTCAGGCTCTCGACGATCAGTCAGGGACTGTGTCACCGCAGTGTAAGGAGCAGGAGCAGGCAGTGGGGAGTGCGGTAGCAGCGGCGGCTGTGACTGGTCCGCCGGTGGAAACAGCAACTGAGGAGTAGTACATGCCACAGGGAAGTCAGTAGCACCGGGCGGAAGACTGAGAAGGTGGCGAAGAGCACCAGCAGCTCCCGACGTACCACCCTGAGGGGGGGGGTTGCCAAACGAGGAGAGCGGACACCCCCAGACGTACCACCCTGAGGCCCAGCTCCAGCAGCCTCAGCTCCAGAGTCCACAGCAGCAGGCTGCGGAGGTGGCGAAGACGGCCGAGGCGGGAAACCCGGGGGGGTCTCCAAGCGAGGAGTGTGGCGAGTGGTCGCCGTGTCGTCGGCGGCGGTGTCACCCCCCTCAGCTGGGTCAGAGGAGTCAGAAGAGATCTCCACTGGCTCATCCAAGGGGGGTGGGTCTACCTGAGACACACCTGAGGGAGCAGGACCCTGTGGGGGAAGGGGGTCTACCGGGGGGGGACTGGTACCAGGAAGAGAGGCACGAGGGGGACCGGGTGGGACGCGTGTGGGTGAAGTCGGTAGTAACAGACCGACTCGTCGAAGGTGACGTCCTGAGAGGACAGAACACGATGCGAGGCAGGGTGGTAGAACTGCCAGGGCGGGGCGTCGGTGGGGAAGCCCAGGAAGACACAGCGGAGAGTGCGAGGAGAGGAGCAGTGGTCGGAGGAAACTCGGAGGAGTGAGGAGCGGCGCGCTGCCGCCCCTCGACGCAAGGAAGGCACGGCGGGGCAAGCGAGCGCGGCAGGGGGGGCAGGGTCCTAGGGAGGCCAGAGACAAGGAGACGGGAGTGCATACTGTGTAGACGCAGCAGGGAGGGGTGACCAAGACGGTGGTGCCAGCGCTGAGTGTCGTGCGTGATTACTCTGCACGAGCAAGACGCAGCTAACTGTCCCGACG